GCCACCATGCCCGGCTAATTTTTTCTATATATTTTTAGTTGTCCAATTAATTTCTTTCTAATTTTTAGTAGAGTCGGGGTCTTGCTCTTGCTCAGGCTGGTTTCGAACTCAACAATCTGCCCGCCTCAGCCTCCCAGAGAGCTAGGATTACAGGCGTGAGCCACCGCGCCGGCCTCTTCCATTACTTTTATGCTTTGAAAGCCCTTCTGCATACAGAGGACAAATTTACATTTATTATTTATAGTTATTTTATGGCTTCACTTTGTTTTTATATTTAACTCTTTAATTCATCTGGAATTTATTTTGATAAATAATGTGAGGACAAAAAATCTAACATTATTTTCCACCAAATAGCCAATTGTCTCATAATTGTTTATGGAATAATATTTCCTTTCATCTCTGAATTTGTAATGCTGAGTTTATCAGACAGTAAATTCTTGTATATTCTAGGGTCTGTTTCTGGGCTTTTTCTGTTCCATTGAGCTATGCTGCACCATTTTAATTATTATAGTTTTACATTTTTAATAACTGGGGGTTAAGAAAAACACACTTCTCATTTTTCAAAATATCCTTGGCTATTTTCACCTAGTTATTCTCCCTAAACTTAGTAGGCCCACCTGCTAAGATTTTTATTTGGAAAAGCAATCTCTCTGCTGTAAACTGGCAGAGTGAGGCAGATCACTTAACCTCTCAGTGCCTTAGTTTCCTTATCTGTAAAATGAGGAAAAGAATATCTCTTTTTGCCCAATTTCTAGAGTGATTGTAGGGATCAAATGAGAGGTTAGGAAAACATTTTGAACAGGCAAAAACTAGAAACCCATGTTTTTTTTGCAACTGCTATAGGCAATGACCCTGGAGGTCTTTGAATTAGGTATCCCGGGGATGGCAGGGTTGTTTGTTCTGGAGGCTTTGGCATTGGACTTTCTCTTTCTTTTCACAGAGCGCTTCGACCATCACTGCCCCTGGGTGGGGAATTGTGTTGGAAAGAGGAACTACCGCTACTTCTACCTCTTCATCCTCTCTCTTTCCCTCCTCACAATCTATGTCTTCGCCTTCAACATCGTCTATGTGGCCCTCAGTGAGTATGGAGGGCAGTGCCTGTTGTTGGAGTGGGGGCAGGATGGGGTCGGGGGAGACTTAAGGACAGCTTAGGGGGGTGGTTGGGTTTCTTGGTGGGGCTTTTACCATTGTGAAGGCACCTTAGGATTGGTTAGAAATGAGCACTACCATCTGTTCTTGAGCAGGGCTGCAAACCTCAGCTCACATCAATATGTATTTACTGAGTATGTTGGCTGTCCCCTGGCCATCTGCTGGGGGCTGGGGCCGTAATTGCTTATCTATAGCTAGAGTACTGGACATTTCTGAGGTGATCCCAAAGGTTGGGGGTGCATTTTGGCTCTGCATATCCTCTCTTCTTCTGTCTTATAAGACCTGCCTTATGGTAGGGGGTAGAAAGGGTTTTGCCTGAGAAATGTCTTTTAGTAGCTTATGATCTACTTTGGGAGATAGAAAATACATACTCACATGTGTGCACATGCACAACACACACATACAACAATCAAAGGGCAGATGGGATGTGGAGTTAAGAGAGTGGTCTTAATCAAGATAGCTTCCTGGAAAGAAAGGAGTTCTGAGCTGGATTTTGAGCAAGAGAGGGCACAGATTGGTGAGGAGAAAGGATTTTTCTTGGTGTTTCTGATTTCTTTCATCTGTTAATATTGCCCTATATGTCCATAGTTGGGGGCTAGGGAAAAGGGAAAGGAGCCCCACGCTTGGCTTCTGCCTGACTCCAGTTCGGGCCTGGTCCTGCACTAGAAATGGGAATTCTTTAGTCATGATGCTACCAGCTTGGAGGTGAGATTCTTCACCCTTGCCTAAGTGAGAGCTTCTCTCTTGTCAGTGTGTAACACGGGATAGGGAGGGAAGGAAGTGAATAGGCACTAGGATAGTGTGCAGTTTTGACTAAATTCACTAATTTTTCTCTCTACTCCTCCTCCCAATTTCACAGAATCCTTGAAAATTGGCTTCCTGGAGACATTGAAAGAAACTCCTGGAACATATCCTCCCCTGGCAGTATGTCCCTGTGAAGCCTTCTTAAACTACTTTCCAGCATGCTTTCTCCCCACAGTTCTCCCACTATCTAGTTTTTCAGACACCAGAGTGTGCCAAGGTCTAAAATAAAGAAAATGTAGTCTTAGTGGTAGCAACCAAAATGGAAGATGGCCAGGGCTTAAAGGGAGGTCTTTTTCTTACCCCCTTTTTGGCTGCCTCCCTCCCAAGTCTCTGTGATCCCAGGTTCAGCTCTGTCTTCTCTAATGGGCTGTACTTTGCCTCAATACACCTCTTATGTCACTTACTGGAAGCCCCGCCTTCCAGTTATAGCTAAGGCTTATTTTGGACAGTGGCCGCATTTTCGTAAAGGAGATTCAGATTAGATTTCTGTAAATCACATCTTTTTATCTAACTAATTTTTCATTTATACAATTTATTTTTTGATGGAATTTGCATTGACAGTTATGGCCAACATTGCTTAGCTTGGGCCCCTCCTAAACATCCCCTTTAAGGAGCCAGTGACGAATAAACAGGCAAACACTTAAATACACTAGAGATGCTAGAGATCTACTCATAATGAATAAATAGAAATCATGTACCTTTCATAAGGGATCTGTCCAGTGAGTTCAGAATTCATCTGTTAATATATACAGATACTTGGCTTTTTGTGATATACATTCCAAAAGGTAAAGATGGTATGATTGGTGCCATGAATATGGTCTGAGACCCCAAGTCCCCTGGTGTGGCTTCAACATTCCTTAACCTCACCTCACTGTTCTAGAAGTCCTCATTTGCTTCTTCACTCTCTGGTCCGTCGTGGGACTGACTGGATTTCACACTTTCCTTGTGGCTCTCAACCAGACAACCAATGAAGACGTGAGTCAACTTTCTCTTCTCTTCACCACATATTCTTCTCCCAAAAGCCTGTTCTCTTGTTACCTGCTAGAGAACTGAGTCTCCAGGGCCTGGGAGAATGAGGCAAGCAAAAAGCTGGTATGCTAGATTGTTAAATCAGACGTGTGGAAGAGAAAGCAGAGGGCTTTGTTTAGAGCTGCGTGCATGTAGGGCATTAGGAAGAAGAGCTTGAAAAGTTGGGTGGGTACAAGGTCTTTGACTCTTCATAGGTACTTAAAGGCTAGCTGGTACCTCTGGATTTGGAATGCAGAGGGACAGTGCACTGAACGAAACCTTGCTTTTAAAAAGTACCAATTAATCCATACTCATTATAGAAAATCAGAAAATATAGATGAGCAAAAAAGAGAAAATAAGCCCCTCTTACTTTACCTCCTAGATATCACCTTTGTTAATGATATGATTTATATAGTCTTCTGGACGTGTCTAGACTTGTTTCCATCTTTGTATGTTTATATTATATATTTTTAAATGAAAGTAATATATTTCATTCAGTTCATCTGCTTTTTTCACTCTATGGTGAACATTTTTTCATGGCTATGTATGTATTTTTTATTGTGATAAAATATGCACAATATAAAATGTGCCATCTTAACCACTTTTAAATGTACAGTTCAACCCTGGTGACCAATGGGGCGAAAGATGTCATAGCCAGATTGCCCTTACATCCTGAATGTATAGTTCAGTAGCATTCAGTACATTCACGTTGTTGTGCAACCATTATTACCACCATCCATCTCCAGAACTTTTTCATTATCCCATCCTGCAATGTAATTTTTTAAGGGTTTTAATTATTATTATTACTATTTATTATTTTTTAGAGACTTAGAAATGAGCACTACCATCTGTTCTTGAGCAGGGCTGCAAACCTCAGCTCACATCAATATGTATTTACTGAGTATGTTGGCTGTCCCCTGGCCATCTGCTGGGGGCTGGGGCCGTAATTGCTTATCTATAGCTAGAGTACTGGACATTTCTGAGGTGATCCCAAAGGTTGGGGGTGCATTTTGGCTCTGCATATCCTCTCTTCTTCTGTCTTATAAGACCTGCCTTATGGTAGGGGGTAGAAAGGGTTTTGCCTGAGAAATGTCTTTTAGTAGCTTATGATCTACTTTGGGAGATAGAAAATACATACTCACATGTGTGCACATGCACAACACACACATACAACAATCAAAGGGCAGATGGGATGTGGAGTTAAGAGAGTGGTCTTAATCAAGATAGCTTCCTGGAAAGAA